ATTCAAGGTGGCTTCTACCTTCACTGGTGCATAGTAAACATGTATTATTTCTCTGACATTTCTGCCAAAATTTTAAACAGAATGGTCCTGTTGCGGTACTCAGGTAAACAAAGTGTTGTCATCTAGTTTTAACAGAGCTAGAGCCTGAGAAAATATAGCTCATAATCCCACTAGATGCAGCTCCAGCGCTGTGAAAGACAACCCCAGCTTCCGTGAGATTTCCGACCACCTGGATTGCAGATGCATTAGCCTTCATCGCTTACCCCTCGGTGAACATTAACTAACCCACACAAAAGGAGCCACTGGCCAGAAAACTGCTCCCGTTTCTAAGCCTCAGGGAAGTCCTCTGAAGAAACCTGCACCCTGAAGGTGTAAGAGATAGGTGAACTGAAGGGAGGGTGTCCAACACTGTTTACACGCAGAAGCAGGACGCACTGACGTCTGCGTAGCTGGTGGAGGTGGTCGGTGGCGTGTGGGATTTTAACCTCACCATGGCTTATGTAGCAGGCCCGTGGCCTACAGAAGACATCTGTACCAGAGGTTACGCTTGAGGCAGGTAATTGTCTACAGAGGCTGTTTTGTGCCTCACTTGGGGCTGGGATCAGAAGCGAGGGGTTAGGAGGTGCACTTCAGAGGCAATGATGTTATTGAGCAGCGGCAATCTGCTGCCACAGGTGGGCTAATAAACACCAGACCACGTGACCGGGCACCACCCAGAGGCGTGGGCTTTGATAATAAAGATAAGATGATGCTGCGATAAGCCCAGGGCCATTTTTGCTTCCTTCTTATTTATTGCCAGCTTTTATTGCTACCAAGAAGTCAAGGTGCTGTGACAAAGCAGCTAATTATCAGTTAATTATGAACCTGGGAAGACAAGGAATGCAGACTTCTGAAGCTTTCCATAAAAGAAGAGAAGAGGTTGCTTTAGACTTTGGACGGCCCACATAACTTCTTCCAGGGCTCGGTTGCAATAATTACTAATAAAATAAATAGATGGCTAACCAGTCCACTGATAATTAACTGATCTTTTCTGCTGAGCGCTGAGAACCAGGGCGGCCTGCGGAGGGACAGGGTGCCCCCAGCCAGGCTTTGCGACATGAAATGTTTACGGGACACGATTGCACCCTGCGGGCTCCATCCCCGGCGCGAGCTGCCAGAGATGTTTTTCAGTGCCTATGTCTTCCAGTGAAATTTAAATCTATAATTTAAATAATCTGAATGTTTGAACCCTATCTGCTGAGTAAACACACAAAGGAAGTCTTTGGACCTGTAATCACCAAGTTCTCAACAGGGCGGCCTTCTCCCGGCCAGACAACTGCAAACAATTAGGGAAATTAGTGGCTCCAGCCTCACCAGCAGGCTTCATGGTTGTTTATAATTTAATCGAAGAAAATGTCAAAACAGTCAAGGGTTGAAAGAAACAAGATGCATTTTTGAGATGAAATTAAAACTGCCAGGCTGCAATATTGGGGGATGTTTGTTTAATAGCGTGTGATCCAGAACATGGATCTGATTTTCGGGAATTTATGATAATCTGCATTTTGGTTTTGGTGTTGTGTCCTGAGAAAGAGGTGTGTTGGCTTGATTGTATTTTTTCCTCAAAAGGTAGCTTTCTTTGACCATCAGACAGCATCAAAATGATTCTTCTTTCAAAAGCCACCGCATTCCTCAGGAACCCGCTGTATGGAAAGGCTTCTCTCCCGTTGCTTAAAAATTAATTCTCTCTCTCAGCTTCCCAGCCCCTCAGCAGTCTGTACCAGCTCAGGATAAATCTGATTTGCTTGTTTCTCTTTTTTTTTCCCCCTTAACAAATATTTATGGATTTATTTTGAAAGGTAATAATACTCTTTAATTTGATTTTTGCAATTAGCCCTTCATTTGATTTTAGAACTGACGATTTTAGTAATGGGCGATGTTTGAGTGGGCTCTCTCATAGAGGAGTTTCTTAGCCAGACCAGAAAGAGAAGTCACACTTGGTGGGCCTAAGGGCCCAAAGCAGACTTTTGGAATCAAATGAAAATCCATGGAGGGTCACAGTGACATCTCTAAACATGAAGCAGTTGTTGGGTGCTTGGCTGGGAGCTCCTAGGAAATGTGAAGGGGTGCATTGGAGACAGTCAGAAATGGGTGCGAAAGCCAAGGTCACCCCCTCTGGGCGTTTGGGAACCACCCAGGGCTCCGGTCGGGCCTGGAGTGTGTGCTGCGCATCTCCTGTTTGTGGAAGGGCGGGGGCGCGATTTTACAAGGGCCACAACGGCACGCTGAGGTCAGGCTGCAGACAGAGGTACACAAGAAAGGGAGAACTGGGCACTCCCGAGGGGACTGCCCACCAGGCTGGAAGGACAGCTATGGCGCCGGTGTGCTCCCAGGCCCGGCGGTCCACGCGTGAGTGGCTGGGGGGAGTGAGACGGTGTTCAGGGCGCAGGCGGCACCGGAGGCCCTGCACGCTCACACGGCAGGGGTGCTGTTCACCCAGCAGCCGGGCACCTGCACAGCACCTTCCTCTGCCAGGCACAGCTCAGGCAGGGCAGGCTGGGGTGCCGATAAAACAAGGCACTGTGACAGACCCTGCCAGGGGCACAGTTTGACCACGTGGAAGGCAGGTTCTCCTCTCTCTGTTGCAGTGTGATCCCAGGACCTTTGCCCTGAGCTCCATCCCCAACCCCTTATTTCTTCCTCGGAGACAGATTTTGCAGGGTGGGAAGACCTCTTGGAAGGCGCTTGTGAGCTGATGCTCAGGGTAGGAAAGGACGTGGGGCTGGGGGTGCTCGGACGGAGCGCACTTGCTGTGCATGCCTGAGGCACTGCATTTGATCTCAGCACCACAAAAACAAAACACCCGCAAACACATAGCCAGGCAGCAGTCACGGGTGGGAGTGACCCGGGGAGGAGCGCAGGCGCAGCGCCCACAGCCGGCCAGAGGCGGCTGTGACCCGGCCGTGGGAATGGCAGCGGGGAGCGGAGCACCCTGGAGCTTGGGTGGCGTGCTCCGTCAGCGGGGCGTCCGGAACCCGCGCGGTGCGCCCTGTGCCTCCACTGGCCAGCCTTCCGGGTTGGTGCCTTCCCGACTTGAGCCAGCCCCTCCTACCGTCGACTTGCCCGGCCCTGCGAGCTTCTGCTCACTTTCTGGAGACCCCTACCCTGCCCTGGGAACCGGCCCAGGGCCGGGGGCTGGACGCTGGATGACGACAGACCCACGGCCACCCGGGCACAGGCGAGCGCCTGACAAGTTAGGGTTAGGCCAGAAGCGTCCGGCCGAGCTGCCAGCTGCCTGCTCCAGGTGCATCAAGCAGAGCGGGCTAAGCCGGGCAGGGCCCGCAGGCTGCCCAGCCCCAGATCAGCAGTCATCGCCGCATGACTGAAACTTCTTAGCACTACAGGGGGAGCCGTGCACAGTGGTGGGCAGGGCAGTGACTGCTGCGTGGGGACCGCTCGGCCAGCTGGCTCTGTTGTCCAGGGTGCAGCCGTTTGCTCTGCAGAACTCAGCTTTTGAATACCTGTATAGTGATTGTTTTTCAATGCTTTAAATGCTTTGCAAAGACAGATAAGCAATAAACAAAAGCTGGCGTGGTGGCGCACGCCTGTAATCCCAGCACCTGGGAGACTGAGGCAAGAGGATCACTGTGAGTTCGAGGGCAGCCTGGGCTACAAAGTGAGTTCAAAGCCAGCCTGAACTGCATAGGGAGACCCTATCTCAAAAAACCAAAAATACATAAATAAGAGCTCATCAACACAATTGCATGTTATATATCCATAAAGATGGTGGTTATTAGTGCTGTATAACATTTAAGAATTGCTGATACATACTCTCTAATGAATGAGATGGGTTTTTTTAAGTAAACGTTTATGTTTCTCAAGGGCTTTACAATTTATAGCAATTCTAACAGGTAAATAATAGCATTGCCTCCGCTTTACAAACTTGTTAATCACCTGGCCAAGTTCACACAGCTGGGGAGGAGTCCTCGCCTTGAATAGGTATTTGCTGTCACAGGTAGCGCGGCTGGAGAAAAAGGGAAGGGGTGAGGGTCACACTTCCCTATGTCGGGGAAATGTTGCCAGCTTGGAAACTTCAACAACCCGGGCAACTTTTATCCTAATAGTAAGGTGATCCTTAAACAAAAATCACCAGCCTTCCTATATTCCAAAAAAGAAAGAAAGTGCAATCATGGGATGCAGTGTGAAAGCCTTGCTTCTCTGTTTTTCTCCGGTACTGGGAACCGAACTCACGACCTTGCGCTTGCCAGGCAGGCTCTTTGCCGCTGAGCTAAATCCCCAGCCCCAGCCTTGCTTTTCAACCTGCAACCTAAAATATGAAATGAAAATCAAGCCAGGGACCCTAAAGGAAGTGGGCAGCTTGGCTTCGAGGTTTTGTGAAGTTTTGTGTCTGGAGTTGAAGCTCTTGGCTGTCAGAGGAGGAGGGGCCGGAGAACCAAGAGTCCTCCTGAGCATTTTCATTCACCCGTGAGGAAAAAACTAATGAAAGAGCTTCTGTGCTATAATGTAATGACTGAAAATGGTATCATGGAACACTCTCCTTTAAAGTACATTTTTAAACCCTCAGAGTGGACTTTTACCGTGTTCGCAATTATTCTGGAATGGCTCCATTACCCATAGAAAGAACTTTGGGAAGAGTTGTTTAAGTTTCACTGAATTTCATTGTTTTCTGTTTTGCAAGTGGTACGAGATGATTTGCCTCATTTTGCCTAATCCAATTTCCTACTTACCCATTTGCTCTTTGACATCCATCACTGTGTTAGGCTGAACTGGCATAAATAATAGAGAAAAAGGGAAATTATTTCAGTACTGGATTCAGAGGCTTCTAGAATGTAGAGTGATTATTTTTGTGGGGCGTTAGGGCAGCTTGTGTCCCGGGAGCTCTATCTGGCTCATTCTCAGATACCCACGCACAGTCTCAGTCGGGCGAGAAGCACCCTGTGCGGGCAGGAAACTGCTCTCCTCACAAAGACCGAGCAATCTCACCACCCCACTTATCTCTACAGTGCACATTGCAGTGTCACTCGTGTGGAGACAGAATGTCCTTCTGTGATTGGAGGTCTTTGTTCTGAAGATTTCCAGCCGCTCCATGAAGCGAATGCCATGGTGATCTATAGAAGACGTGCCCAGGTAAGGATGAGGTGGACAGACATGGTAAGGATGAGGTGGACAGACATCAAAATCTTAATTATGAGGAGGGTCACCAATGCCCTGTCCTTGCAGATGGTTTTCATCATAAACTTGAAATGTCTTTCTGTCCATCCAGCCAGCCATCTGCCCATTCAATTTCCCACCTCCACACCCATTCATCCGTCCTTCACGCATATAGAAAATTCCCCACCTGTTCACTCTTTCTGGAATAACTACTGCATCTGGAGCACTATGCTGATTGGCAGCAGTAAAGAAATACAGATGAATAATAAACCGATTTGGGAATGATTTTAACAAGAATTATCCATGAGGCAGGGATATAGCTCAGCAGCATGGCGCCTGCCTGGCAAGTGTGAGGTCGTGAGTTCGATCCCCAGTAGCAAAAAGAAAAGAAAAGGAATTATCCACGATCTTACACTTTCTCAGTTGTGGAGAAAATTGATTTGGCTATACATCCACCTGGAGACTGTCTAGAGGGTCACTCTAAGTAAATAAACCCTCACTGAAATGAAATGAAGAGGAAACAAATAGCTGTAGTCAACCTGCTCCCATTCCTCACTGATTCCACACAGGAAAACTTCCAGGACAGGGGGAAAATCTGTAAGCAGGGCCCTTTGGTATGTGTTCCTAAAGACCCCAGAATCTCGGCCGTGTGTTTGCATGCGCTTGCTCCGCACTCCGTGTCTGGGGTCTCGTCCGCCATTACTGCACTGGACGAGAAAGGCCTGGGTGTCAGGCACGTGGCACTCCCCTGCTGGGCGTTTCCTAGGAACTGTGATGTGGGTCCTGACAGTTCAGTCTGCTGCGCCCGCTACTGTCACCCCTGTGGGGCTGCTTGCTGCCACCCGTGGCTCAGTGTCAGGGAATTATTGCCCAAGCCATCCTGGAGGCGAGGCCCGGCGAGAATCCTGAGGAAGATGTGCTTCTTAGCAAGCAGCCCGCCGGCCAGGCCGCGGCAGCCACGTGGGCGCGTCAGAGCTCCCCTGGAAGGCGTTCAGGAAGACCTTGATTGCGAGTTCTGCCTGGCTGCCTCCACTTCTCATTTCAACAACGTTGGGCACATTTTTCTAAACTCTTCTGAGCATAATAACAGGCAAGCGGCCCTGTAATGCAAGGCTATAATTCCACGGAGGGGTGCTGGCGGTGACATGTACCACAAAGTGGGAGTCCACGTGGTTGTCAGCAGACCCCCGGGGTGCAGTTGCAGCCCGCCCCGCCTCGTGCTTATTTTCCTTCATACGTAGATGTCCCTCGGCCTCTGCCATCTGCTCCCCTGTAGTTCTGGCCTCGTATTTCCCGACCAACAGAGAACACTTCGTCTCCTGTTGCTTGGATGATGGTCTCTCCCCTTGGCCTCTTACAGCTTTGATGTGGGGAGATTTCTGCTTTCTAAACGTACTGCACTCAGAGGCCCAGTGCTGCAGGGTCAGGCTACCCGTGGGCTGGGAGCTCAGGCTACTCAGGGTGACTACACAGGGCCTTGGTACCAGTGAGACCTTGGTCTCAGAGACTGGCTCCAGAGGCAAACGGACCTGAGGCTTGCAGGGACACCAAGGAAAAGCAGGTGGAGCAAAAGAGGATGAGGTCTGCACTCGGGAGAAAGGTTTCCCAACAGGGCTTTGTAAATCCGTGAGTCCAGGGTGAATCGATGGTGAATGTTGAATTTTTTTAAAAAATGTATTGCAGTAAGATACATTACCATCAGTTCTCCTCAGACGCCTCGTCTTCTCTTATCCCATTGCTCCCACCACTTTCCAAAGCAGTTCTGGAGTACTCATTCATGAGCTTCTCCACAGCGTGTGATCAAACATACAGTGAATGCTGCTGCTGAACGCCATCCAACAGAAAGGCGGGCTCAAGAAAACGGCAGCGCTTCCTCAGCCACCTCATTCAATGCTCTGGCATCGGGCGACTTCTGGCTCCTTCCCAAAGATAAACTGACCATGAAAGGGCAACACCCTGAATTGATTCAGGACATCAAGGCAGCCAGGACAGCACACACAAGACACTCAGGAAGGAGAACTTGCAGAGCAGCTGCAGACAGTGGTAAGAACGATGGGTCAGCGGGTGTAACGCAGGGGGGGTGAGTGGCAATGTGTCTTTTACTGTATTTTTAAAAATTTAAACATACATTGCATTTTAAAATCACACCTCCTATAAATAAGTACACACACCATCTGCATGTAGTGTTCATGAGTATTACATATATGTGTGATTCATGAAAGAGTAGAAATAATTTTAATACCTTTTAGCTAAGAGATCTTACTTTAATAATAATTTTTAAAAATTCAAGGTTCCATATGATTCAACCTGTAGATTGTGTCTTCTTTGAAAGATTGCTGTCTAACCCCAGAAGCATCGATGGGTGACATCTGTTGTCACTGCGGATTGCTCTACGTGAAGCCCCGGGCCTGAGAAATCTCAGCCCGAGGAGGTGTTGCAGGCTCGCTGACTGCCTGCTGTTCCGAAAGTCTTCAGCCGCGGACGCTGCCTTCCCCTCCCTGCCCTCCGCTGCGCCCTGACGGTCCATGTCCTGAGCGCCTGAGGAGCCGGCGCGGCTGCTTCTCCTGATGCCCGGATGCCTAGTTTATCCTTCACTGGGATGCTTCTTCCCGCAGGGCGCGGGGGCCTTGGAGGCCGGTGACGGTCATCTTCTCTCCGGGTGTTTTCATTAAATGCCGAGCACGTGTGCAGTTCAGGAATGTGGTCTGACAGCCCAGGAAAGGCCGGTGCCATTGCCCCGACCCCGGCCACACTAAGGGATTGCCCGCGGTTACTATTTGGACCTAGGCTTTGTGCGTTAAGGCCTGGGCCGTCCACAGCCGGGGCGCGGTCAGCGGGGCGGCCCGCAGGAGACAGGTGCACCCGAGTGTCGGGGATGAAGGTGAGCTGGGGGTTGGGTGACCCCGAGCATGCGGCCCCCAGCCTCCTCTCCTAGCCCCGGGCCTCGTTCCGCAGCCCTTCCGCAGAGTCTGCCGCAGGCCGGGGACACGGGCTCCCGCGCCCCGCAAGCGCCCTGCCCGCCGCCCTCGGGTGCGCTTCTCTGCAGGGCACGGCTTCCCACCCGCGTGCCTTCCAGCCACGCAACCGCGTTCCATTTCTCCCCAGTGTCATCGCCAGAGCCACTTCACACCCAGCTTTTAAAATCCCTTCCCGCACCCCAGTTGTTCTCTCCTTGTGAGCAGTTTCTTTCCCTTTCGCAACATCTACTGTACCTCTTGGGTCTTATTTACTCTTTCAGTTTCTTACACTAGGGAGACGGTACGGTGTTTACACAACTGGGATGAGAGCAAGGAGAAAAGAAAGGGGAAAATATATATATGCATACACAAGATAGCAAAGATAATTGTACCGCTAACGTCTATTGATGTAGTGAAAGGAACAGTTAATGCTTAATTTTTGGACCAATTTTGCATGCCTGTCTCTGGTAATCTGAACGACTGCTTTGAAGATAACAATATGCAATATAACAACCATTGTTAATTTCCCACCATCTTGTTTTGAAATTCGGTATCCTTTTCAATGTTTTAAAACTTTTTATTCTCTTTAAAATAAAATAAAAAATAATAATTAGGTCACAGACAACTTTTAGTGGGAAATTAAGATTTATACACAGAGACATATAACCTGTTCAGTTTGGGTTTATGACTGTAAATTTTGGTTTCCCTGTACCTTGTGGCACAGTGAAATAAATTACTTTATTGTTTCAAGGTTAAAAAAAAAATTAACAATGTCAGACACCCAAAAAAATTCCTTCCCTTTTTAATGAGGTACCTCTACATTTTTATGATTCAGTGTGAATTTTTTGTTAACTTCTAATTCCTTTTTCATATTGTTTGAAAGGCATATGATCCTTTTACTTTTTTTAGGATTTCAGGTTGAATTTTATAAAGAAAATTTGACATTTATTAATATATGGTTTTTCTTCTTTGACTATCACCATAACGCAGAGCACTAATGGAGGGTCTAACTAATCCTAGACCTTTGTTACATTTATTTTGGCAGAGCAAAAGCTTACTCAGTCGTGGTATAGTCTTTCATTTACTTATTTATTTATTTATTTATATGTAGTGCAGGCTGAATTCCTCCTGCCTCAGCCTCCCAAGCGCTGGGATTACAGGCATGCACCACCACGCCCTCCCAGCTGGTATTTTTTTTAATATATGGCTTCATATTCAATTTGCTAATATTGTATTTAGAATTTATGCATCCATATTCATGAATAGGGTTTCCTCTTCTGCATAGTGTTCAATGTTTTTTAGGTATTATGCTAATCATTTTAGAATTTCTTATTTTTTCCCCCCTCTGGAATAGCCTACAAAGATAATCTTTCCCTAGATGTTTTCATGAAATTTATGTATAACACGAGCAAGGCTTGACATATTTTCTGAGAAGTATTTGTTCAACAACTTTAAAAGTTATTCCTACCTTTATTTTTCTCATTTGCCATTTTTTTACTAAATAGACTTTGGTAAAGTTTATAGTTATTCGATTCATTCTTTCAGAGTTGTTCGCTTGATTTGTATGCTTTTTGTTATTCCTTAAATCCCTCCACATCAGAATTTGTTCTCATTGGGAGGCTAATAACCCGTCTGCCTGGGCCGGGCTGCGCCCTCGGCTTGGGGACCGCGTGGCCCGAGGCACCCCGCTAGGGCCGCCTCCTGTGCCCAGGGTCTCCGCAGGCGGCATCTGCGCGCCAATCTCCAGTCTGGAGGGAACCACAAAACATCTGAATCGCACTGATCACCTTGCGGTGCAAAACTCCTTTTTGCCTTCCGATACACCCGACTTTATTTTCATGATAATGCCTTCCTTTCACCTTGTTTGTGCCACTCCTACTGCTTTATGCTTAAATTCTACTTGCATAGTATTCATATCGACTTTATTCAAAAATGAATTCACCTGAGACAGCTTGCCCTACTCCTTTACTTTCAATCGCTTTGGTTGTTTTATTATATTGTCTGACAGCTAGT